ACTACTTTCAGAGTTCAGAACATTCAGAGAAAATTCAAAGGTAACATTCCCATAATGTTAAATGATGAAGTGGCATGTTTCCTTTACATTCCCATAACCAAGAAAAAATGATAAAACATTAAAAAAACTGGATGTTTTGAGCATTCAGAGAACATTCAGAAATAATGGGCCTCATTCATGAAACGTTCGTAAATATATGAGTAAATTCTCATAATGAACAAATAAACATTTTCATGAATCCGAAAATTTACGTCAGAACAACTTTCCGAATGATTTACACAAAAAATCGTTCTACTCGTGTTTCATGAATGAGGCCCAATGTTTTTATAACTCAATAGGAATGTTAGTAAAACCTTCTTGGAACATTTTTTTTTAGCTGGGTAGTAACTCGGCAAATAATAGTGCTACTTGACTTACTGTTGATTCTGGTAGAGTTGGACATTAGCAAGTTGCTAAGCTAACAACTACTTTTGGAGCAATACATAGCATACACCAAGTATTATTCTCAACACTTTAAGGCCCTGTCCACACGAATGCGGTTATTTTCAAAACCGCAGCTTTTTCTATGTGGTTTGGCCGTTCGTCCACACGCAATCGCTGCATCAGGTCACTGAAACCGAACATTTTTGAAAACTCTTGCCAGGGTGAAGATTTTCAAAAACTCCGGTTGCAGTGTTATCGTGTAGACAGCGAGTTTTTGGCTTGTGACGTCGGAGCATGCACTGTTATCTAGTGATGTTACGTTCAAGTGCGTATCGAGGCTTGTATCGCTTTAGAGCAATGATGTTATTGATGACGTTCAAAGCCTCGCTTGGCCAGACTGGTTCAGGAAGCGGTTCAAATCTTGTAAATTCACAGTCCTCTGCCCTGTTAAACCCAGTTACTTTCCAGTTTTAGACCAATAATATTGCCCCTCCTGCCTATTATGAGCAAAGACTTCATTTACACACATTTGATAGCTCCATTCATTTCAAGCCAATACGTTTATTACACAGTTATGTTATATTGTTATACAATCATTATATACCACTAGAAAACACACATTTTATTCATATAAATAGATTAGTCTATGTGGAAATTAACCATTATTTCTAAGCCTTAACTGGCGCAAAATACAGTGCATCACAGAGCACATCAGGTCATCTGTAATGTATCTGATTGTTTTACACTCTTTGGCCACCAGGTGGTAGTGTGAGCAAATGAAGCCTCGAGAAATGAACCCTTTTGTGAACTACTTCAATGCTTCATGAGGCTTCATCTCGCCATCACTACTGTTATCTCCGCCTACTGGAAATGTTTTCAGGCTTCTGATTGGCCAACATGGCTTTACGGTTGAGATTATATCACCACCCGTTGGTTTGGAATGCTCTTGACAGTGCTTCATAGCATGCGTTTGCGTTTTCATGTGGACGGAGATTTTTTTTTAAACGGAAGAAGGAAAAACTGTATAAAAATACCCGGTGTATGTGTGGACATGGCCCTAGGCATTGAATAAAATACTAGTATTTATTGTTGACATTTCTCCTGCATTGTTCACCAACTTTCACTTTTCAGTTAGCTCATTGCAATGCATTCTGCAGTTGCCTTCTTGGCAAAAGATACATAGTTCTGCCTTAGAATTTGATCAAAACATCTTGGAAGCCAGATTACATCATCACAGTGCATTCTGCAATTGCCTTCTTTGCAAAAACCGTATGCAATTCTGCCTTTGATCTGGCTAAAACATTTTAGAAGTCAACAGTGTAATGCTACCTACCTTTAGTTTAAATCCTGATGCTTAGTTGGGAGTAAGTTTATGATGCCTTAAAAGGCTGTCTAGGTAGGCAACTCACTAGGTTGTGTGCAGCTTTTTCCTGTTTTCTGAACTTCGATGGTACAGCAGATGGTGTGTTGCAGCGGGAGAAAGGAATTGTGCTTTGGCTGGTGGGTTGCTGCCACAGCCTTGCTGTTAATGAATGAGAGAAATCCCAGGGTGGACTTCCTGCATGGAAGAATGAAGCATGGATGCCATAGCAAGGCCCCGGAAATTAGGCCGCCCCGGTCTCACCTCAAGGTTTAAAGAGCCCTTGAGGTGCCAGTTGAGCGGTGAGGGGGGCTTCTTTAAGAAGCAATTAAGATAACTCACCCGTGTCCTTGGAAACAGCGCTCTGCTCAGCCGGGCCGTATTAATCACGCCGTTCTGTCACAGGACCGGAGAGACAAGAGAAGCTCTCTGATCTTCAAATAAGGGTGACAGAGTTGCCTTGGGTATACATGTCAATTTTTTGACTTGCTTTTTTCCCCATTAATGCCCCATTTTCTCCCTGTGGTAGAAGTCCATATGTCAGTCTGACAGTTAGCATTTCACTTGTTCCTCTGGGTCTTATTCCTTGTGTTTGTCTCGGGGTTACAGTAAGTTATATGTAACATGAAAACACATGCAGGCTGGATTACCGCCCGCTCCCAGTCGACATGTGGCAGAGAGTTGCTTAAGTGATAATGTACTGGAGTCCATTCAGTGGAAACCATTCAGCTGCTCACAGTCTCTTGCACTTTATTGTAGGGAGACACGCTATATCGGTACCATATCGGACGGCATATTATTTAATTATATTTTTAAATTTAGCATTTTTACATTTAGATTAACTTAAAGTGAGATAATGAGAAAGAAAATAATTTAAATATCTTTAATAATACTTAAATATCATCTTTAGTAAATCTAAAACTGAATATCGGTTTTTCATAATAATGTTGTAGTGCCTAAATTTACTTGAAGAATTTAAAATGTTAAATTTTACTTTATAATGTTGGATTTTTTTATTTTTATTCATTCAGACAAAATAGCATAACATGAAAGCAATTATCGGCTTACTGGTATCAGCCAGAGTTTTAACTTTGGTGCATCCCTACTATAAAATAACAATAAATAAATATATATATATATATATATATATATATTGTGAACTGTTTAAATGAGTTTAACTGACCATGAACTTACAATGTACTCCAAGACACTTTAAAGAATATCATGATATCCTCTCATAATGTGGTATTACCATGTCAGAGACATCATGCTAACTCTCTACAAATCCTTGATAATGTTATGATACTATTTTGTGTCTCCTTTTGTCTCTCTTTATTAGATATCTTCTGACAGCAAACTGGACTTGCAGCAACTGTGGAAAGATATACTGGACAATGAGAGTCACAAAGAAAATCAGAACCACTAAAAAAAGTCAAAGAAACATTGCTGTACTACAAAAAAACTTTCAAACATAAGTGGGGTATAAGAAACCCTCAGAAATGTGTGTGGGCTATTAAGAGCTTTTGCATTGTCCATACAGGAGAATGTATGTCAATGTAACGGTACAATATTTTCAGCTGCACTCTATTAACCATTTATGAGTGCTTCTGACCACTCTCAGATATGAGAGGAAATACATATGCTTTCCATTCCCCCGCTGCCATCAATAAGATTTGACATTTCCATCCAAAACCAAGTAGACGTTTGTTCCAGGATCCTGTTGTAGCAGGTTTAGCCTCAGGTGGAGCTTCAAGGCACACATGCTCTTGGCGAGATGGCATTGAACTCCTGCAGACAGCAGCTGAACGTCGGCTATTGACACCTATCAGGCTCATTGGTATTCAGTGCAGTCGTATGGAGTAAGATCTGGAGGTCTGTCTATTGTTACTAAGAAAACAGTGGACACTGAAGACCACTGTAACGTCATGAACTCAGATACTACTTCAGTTATATTAAGGGAAATGGATCTTTTATGTTTGAACAAGCACGTGCTTTGAGGAAGACAACCAGTTGTCCTTATATGAACTGCAGGCAAATGTTAAATGCTTTCTATGAGATCTTTTTAGTTGCCTTTTCGCTGCAGTTCTTTGATTAATTCATCTCCTATCAGTTTTAGATGCTTCTTTCATTATATTTCTCTCCTCATTTGTCTGTTAAGATTTTACAGAAAGGTAAACAGGTCTTCACGAGCATTCACTGTTCGAATCTGTAGATCCAAGATTCTTTTTTTAGCCTTCCGGAGGCTTGACGGATAAACGTTGGTAGAAGTTTTATTTCTCATTGTTAAAATGAATGTATTGACCAACAATAAACAGAGAAATTGACTATGTGCATTGATGTTTTTTTGAAGTTATGTATAAAGGCATCTCGTGTTATCATATAACAGGATTTCTATGATATAACAGTATTTACAAACCAGGAGTTTGTGACGGAACTAAAAGAGGTTTGTGAATTTTTTTTTGCATCAAAATATGGTTTTACACCTAACAGTATTGTGATTCTATATATAAAATGAGACTTTAAATGTATTATTGATTATATTTATAGAAAGGCTAAAGATGATGTAGTAAATAATTTAGGTTAGTCAAGTATTTTTATACCACTAGAGGGCAATAGTGCACTATTTATAAACCAGCAAGTGTATTCCAGCCAAATCTGACATTCCCCAAAATCTGTTTTACTGTTTGGAAGTACAAGTTCAGTTTGTTCAGATGTGACTGGTTAGTAGCAGATGGTCGATCTAAAATGGCTTAAATAATGATTGAATATATAAATAGTATTTGCCATTACGCGCTGAAAATTGTTAGGAACTATTAGTAATTGTTTGCATTCAGACTCATTGAATTAATAAATTGAATTGGAATCATAATTCGGTAAAATTGAACTGTATTAGCATTCAAAACCGAAGTGTTAATGCAGTTTCTAGAGGTAGATAGTCTGTTTATTTGAATGCAAAATCCAAAATAATGTTAGGATCGTCACATTCCTGCGTTTACCCTCTCCTTTATTCCTGCACCTCTGCGTCTATTATTGTGCACACGAAGGGGTGTTCCCTTCATCATTCTGAGCAAACGTTCCTGAGAGTTTTCCTTCTGAAATGAGAGCATGTTTCATTTAAGATTGCATGTGGTGCACGGAAGAGAGAGAGGGAGTGTGTGTGTGTGAGAGAGAGAGAGTGAGAGAGCAATCACAATCACAGGGAGGATTTTGGTGATGCGCTGTTCATTTCAGCACCACAAACCAGCTTCTGAGAGCAGAAAGAAGGTAAGATCTCACATCTACTGCACTTTCATATTAGTATGCTTTAAAATGGTATTCTTATGCTGCAAGTATTGTGCTATCAAAGAAAATACAGTTTGAAATGCTGCTCATGAATATCTTTAGAGTACGAAAACTGATCTAAAAGATCATTGTTTTAATGTGAAACGTAAATGAATGTCACAGTTGTTTCTTTAGAGCTTGTTTGTGTTTTATAAGATGACAATAGTCACTTAAAAGCACTTTATTCAGAAAAAATAGTTGCGCTTTTAACGAGACAATTCTTGCGCATTCGTGATGTATATAAAGAATTGAAGGAGATTGCAGAGGCTGTGTTGAGTAGACTGAATCATTGCATTGCATTGCATCAAAGGAATGTGCGTAAATGCACACGCGTGCATGCATGCTGATTCATACACATCGACTGTTGGGCTTGTACAGTTTAGTTCTCTCATAAATTCAGAATTATCAAACAGAAATGTGCGTGATTAATGTATAGGCTGTGAATTTTTAAACGTCTCATGTCTTTCTCACGAGTTGCATTTACAGACTATAAACTCCAAATTGCACGCGACTGTGTTTTTGGAGAAGCATATAAGCTTGTTTTTTCCAACTACAGTTGTAAGAGAGAGAAAGAGCTCTGGATTCCTATGAGACAGGCTCTCTTGGTGGAAATATAATGGGATCTCCAGTAGAAGATGGTTCTGCTTGACACATACTGATTCGTGTAAATTAAAAAGAGAAATGGGACACACTGTGTCTGCCAGGGTAAAAACTCCATCTGTCTCTGATATAAGAGAGCTCTCATATAGAGATTAATTCGTGCAGAGGAGTAGAATATTAGGCTGAAACGAATCCAATTATGCATGTGCACATATACTATCATTTATGCAAATACATTCGATTCAAACAGGCAGTCTCTGCACTCGAGAAACCAATGCGCACTGGTCTTCCCCAAAGATGCATGGAGTAGAAAAATTGAATAGTTTTTAGAATAGAGCCGTATAGAATAGAACAGAACAGAACAGAACGGAGTCATTTAGAATGCAATACAGCAATATAGAATCATTGACAGAACAGAGCCGTTAGAATAGAAGGGAGTCATTGTTATAGAACAGACTAAAATAAAACAGTATAGAGTGGGAAATGTTGTTTTTAAGGTAGTATAAAGTTCACAGTAAGATCCAGGGAAAATGATGGGATTTTTTCCTGCGTAATCTATAGTGTCTGGGTTAATGTGGGAATTTCAGTGGCATTTGTGGCTCACCAGGAGTGCAGAATCACACTCGGAAGTGTGCAATGGACTTCCTTTACGTTGTAGAGTGATGCTCTTGGCGCACGGAGGCGGCAGATTGCGCAGCATGTGTCTCGGAAGCGCAAGGTTGTGCGTAACGTAACAATGGCTCTCCAGTGTGGAGTGGGGATGTGGAGGTGTTTCACGAGAGGTTCTCTCTGTCTCGACTCTCTGAACTGTTTCAGGTGTTTGATGTGTGCCAACAACAGTGTAAATCAGCAGCCTTCATTTTGGAGCTTAGTGTGGTTTGGCTAAAATGAAAGAAATGTGGATGGTTGTAGGATAGCCCACAGGGAAAGACAGAGTGCGATATTTGTATCAAGAGCATATACTTCTCCAGATACATAACATGTCATTTTAAAACCATAAAGTTAATTTCAAATGCTTTTGAATGAAACATATTGTGTATAATATCAGTAAAAATGAACATTATAATAATTACGGTCTATCTGCATTGGCCCAAATTTCTATATCTGTGGATCCTGACAAAAAAACTTGTTGTTGAAGATCAATCTGCCATAACTCTCCTTGACTACCCTCTGTCCCATTACATTCCACAAGGCTGGACTGTAAAAATCAACCAGACAGCTCTATTCTCCACAAATAGACACGTTTCCTCTCACTGCGAAATGTCTTTGGTTGTCTATGCAAATGTTAGAGAAGACGGCCTTGATTTTTTTTTTTATGTGAGGCAGAAATGAAAGACCACACTGAGCTCCAAATGACTGTGATGTAATTTCCTCCCTGTCAAGATGTCCGTGTGTTTGATGAGTTTGCTTTGTTGCTTGCATATATTGTGCCTGACTCATGTTTGATTTTCTCTTTGTGCAGCTACTCATACAATGTTTTCTTTTCTTTAGATGCTTCTGAAGATGTGAGAGTTTTGGAGCTTGATTTGGAAAGGCACTTGTTTGACGTTATTGCATCTCCTTATATCACCTGTTACCAGTCACATGACATGTACGCCAGACATTTTTGCCCCATGAGAAATTCCTGTGGTCACACTCTAAATGGTCAGAATGCACAACTTCAGCTTTGAAATGGGCATGGATGTTACCGTCCGTCTGCTGCCCCATTAGTCCTTAATCCCACCACCTGGAATTTTTGGACCTACATTTCCTCACATTGTCCCCAACGTCCCTGTGGATATGGATCTTGTACGCATAAGTCGGACTCAATACCAGCTCCTCCTCTTCCTCTGCTACTGGTTGCCAGTCTCCCTCCAGCGGGTGGAGACACCGACAGTTGAGTATGCCCACTCTATCCGTCTAGATGGCGACATCATCCTGGGTGGCCTGTTTCCGGTTCACGCCCGGGGTGAGCGTGGCGTTCCCTGTGGGGAGTTAAAGAAGGAGAAGGGTATTCACAGACTGGAGGCAATGCTGTTTGCCATTGACCTCATCAACAAAGACCCAGAGCTGCTGCCCAACGTGACGCTGGGGGCCCGTATCCTGGACACCTGCTCGCGGGACACCTACGCCCTGGAGCAGTCGCTTACCTTTGTACAAGCTCTCATTGAGCGTGATGGTTCGGATGTACGCTGTGCCAATGGAGACCAGCCCATATTTGCCAAGCCAGATAAAATCGTTGGAGTCATTGGTGCGGCTGCCAGCTCTGTCTCCATCATGGTTGCCAACATCTTGAGGCTTTTTAAGGTAAGAAGGCTCTACTTGTCCTTCTTGGGATTGGGAGTGGGGTTCATAATCTGGTTCTTGTCAACGATAGATGTTGCGTAGTGTAGTGGACAATAATCAGGGCTGGGTGTAGAAGGGTGCAGGCTGATTCCTAAAATCAAGACCAGCCCATAACTGCCAAGGATGTAACCTTTTGAGATGTGGGAGTGGGGAGTAGCCTGTAACTGTTGGTCAATTGAGACCAGACCAAATTTGCCAAGTTTAACAAAATTGCTGGGGTCTTTATGGCAAATGTATCTCCATCATGTTTGTCAACATTATGAGGCTGTTTGAGGTAAGCAGGGTTATATAAGTGGTCTAACACTGCCCTTCTGGGGACTAGAAATGGGGTAAAGTCTGCAGCTGTTGTGAATGGGGTTATAGTGTAGTGAAGTGCTTAACAATCTGGGCTGGGTATTGAAAAGATGTAGATTGAAACCTACAATCAAGACCAGCCCATATTTGCCAAATTTGACACAATTGCTGGGGTCTTTATGGCAAATGTATCTCCATCATGTTTGTCAACATTATGAGGCTGTTTGAGGTAAGCAGGGTTATATAAGTGGTCTAACACTGCCCTTCTGGGGACTGGAAATGGGGTAAAGTCTGCAGCTGTTGTGAATGGGGTTACAGTGTAGTGTAGTGCTTAAAAATCTTTAATGGGCTTTGAAAAGATGTAGATTGAAAATTACAATCAAGACCAGCCCATATTTGCCAAGTTCAACAACATTTTTGGGTCATCATGGCAAATGTGTCTTGATCATTCTCACCAACATAATGAGGCTTTTTGAGGTAAGCAGGGTCCCATAAGAGGTCTAGCATTGCCCTTCTGGGGCCCGGGAATGGGACAGTCTGTAGCTGTTAAGAATGGTGGTTATAGTACAGAGTAGTTGTTAACAGTCTGGGCTGGGCATTGAAAGGGTGTAGATTGAAACCTACAATCAAGACCAGCCCACATTTGCTAAGTGTAACGAAATTGTTGGGGTCATTGGGGCATATGTCTCCATCATGTTTGCTAACTCCCTTTGAGGTATGAAGGGTCCCATAAGAAGTCTAAACTTGCCCAAAGTCTGCAGTTGTTGTGAATGGTGGTTTCAGTATAGTGTAACATTACTCATAGTTTCATAGTTCCTAGAACTATTTGCGGAAGTACCTGCTTTTTGGCAGGAACCAGGAACGTATTTAGTTCTAGGGACTCTGTTTGGGGGAATTAGGGTCTAAAACAGTTCTGTAGGAACTACCAGTGACGTAAGTGTACGCTGATTGGCCAAACGTATACGAAAAACACCGGCTTTAAAAAGCCATGTAAAAATATTTACTCCACGAACATGGAAAACAGTAATAACGAGAGGTGTTGACGCCGACGCCCTGTTTAAATGTACCATATGTGGTCTAAACTAGCCCTTCTGGGGCCTGTAAATGGGTGTAGTCTGTAGCTGTTGTGAATGATGGTTATAGTACAGTGTAGGTGTGAATAGTCTGGGCTGGAAAGGGTGTAGATTAAAACCTACAATCAAGACCAGCCCATATTTGCCAAGTTTGACAAAATTGTCGGGGTCATAGTGGTAGTGTAGTGTAGTGGTTAACAATCTTGATTAGGAGCCAAAAGATTGCAGGTAAAAATGGCACAAGAAGCAATACATGGCTATTGTATCCTTGAACAAAGTATTTAGCCCTAGGTTGTCTGGGGATATTGTCCTCTTGTGCAAAGCAAGTCTCTTTGGATAAGTTTCTGCTAGCTTACTTTCTAAGTCTTTTCCAGTTGCTTTTCAAGGTCTTCATAACCACAGGTGACCTCACATAACTCAAACTAAGTTGTTTGAAATATGTTGTTGTGACAGAGTGTGTGTGCATGTTGACCTGGAAGAATCTCAAGGCAGGATGATTTCGTAGAATGATGCCTCCCAAACTCTATTAGAGTCTGAATGTACATCTCCCCACCCAGTAGGAAGATCACTGTTTCTGGGCAAATACGACAGCGAAATGAACTCTGGCATTTTGCTATGCTTGTCAGTGGAAATTAAGGGAACCAGGGGGCTTTTTTCTGCTGTTGTTTATGGATGTAAACAGCTAAAGTTCAGCAGTGGCAACCTGTTACAATCTAGTCTTTGCTAGAACAACACTACGCTTCCAGGAGATTCTAGGAATTCTATGGGAATGGGCTGCATTCAGTATGTCCCATAAGGAGTTATATCCATATCTGTAGACTGAAGTGGCCTCTTGACAACAATAGATTTTTACTTGTTCATGTTTAGTAAGCATTCTAAATAACACTTCTGGCCAACTGCTCATTGTAGATGTCTTGTAGATGTCATAGGAACAACTCACGGCCGCCCTATGCCAATTAACCACACAATTTTAATGAAACTCTCTACTGTTTATGCCACACTCATTATCTGACCGCGATTTGACTGATTGATGTAGACACGTTGTGCCGAACGACCCATCCGCAGTAAATGACGCATGTCCCATACTGCAAGCACAGATCTTTTTCTGTAACACCATGTCAGATGTCAGACTTTGATATCAGGAAGCAATCACGCTAAACACGATTAGAAGAGACATTGTCTTGGGTGTTGAGCAAGTAAATGTGCATGTGGCTGTGTATGTGCTTGGTCTCAACAGGAATGCCACTTAAAGGCCTATGACATGCTATGGTATTAGATACAAAAAGAGCACTAGAGTGAACCCTATTGAATATGAAATGGCTGGCTGCTATAGTATTCCTATACAACAACAGTCCTTCATTATTATTATTTATGAGAATCTGTGGCTTTATCGCTTTGGCGTTTTTTAAATGTTCAGAAGCATTGGCTGCAAATGTATTTGCTTGCTAGACTAGAGAGTTTCTAGAGTTATGGACTGTGGCTCATATGAAACTAGATGCAGTCTGATGCTTGGCATCGAAAACGGCATTCATTTCCTACTGTGAATGTGTCAAAAGATCAGACCAATTATCGAAGGATCAATGCTCTATATTTGAAACGGTTCAAATGAAAATGGAGTTTTTTAGCACTTTAAATTACAGATAAAAATGATCTTTGCATATTTGTGTATTGTTGCAGATTGAAATTTTGTGTTTTCTCTTCATTAGCAAGTCGATTTAGATAAAACAGTTTGCTAAATTGTTAACTGTAAATAAAAACCAAACCAAAGAGCCTACTTTCCATGCCTGCGCTCCAGAATTATGTGGTGAAAACTGACTGGGGGTTTCATGACACTTTAAATGGCACGTTTAAAACATGTTGCTCTTGATAAGCATGCCTGCAGTATGTTTAGCCGCTGTCATTCATTTAGCCACTGAAAACACGTGTATGTATGTGAATGGCAGTATATGAGATGTTCATCTCGTCTACCGAGAGTTCCTGCATCGCCGTGAACAGGGGCTCATGCCAACGCATAGTGATTCTGAATGGGACAGATGGAGTTCCCCGACAGAATTCCTGTTTAGGTAATCGCTACAGCATTAGCATGCCTAGCGAGAGGAGGGCCACAGGCTGTTAGTCCCCTGATTTCCATTCGTCTGACGGTCCCAGCGCACTGCAGGTGCAATTCAGATGCAATTCATTGGGGAGGTGATTTATCAGGGCAACCCTGCGGGTGGGGTCTTACCACATGAGATTTCTGAGGGCTATGAAGTGCCTCCATTTGGTGTTTGGCAGAGTGAAAGAGGAAGGGCTCATACTCGCGCACACACACACACAATGCCGTTGTGTATTATATTGACTGTAAATTGTAGTAAGCTGCCTTGCTTTCTACTGCCTGGCTGCCTTTGAAGGCAGCAACCTCACACAAGCGTCACACAACACATTGGCACACAAATAACACTACTTACTAGGATGCTAAACTAATAATGTGGTAATAAGCAAAATGGCTTATACCTTAAATGCATAACACATGAAAATTGAGTAAAACTGTCAATTTGCAATGCATTTTGGGATTGCTTTATCAGCAAGTACTTGTAAAGCCGTTTTTTAAATTGGCAAAAAGAAGATACATGAGAAGACGTACGATGCCTATACAATCGCTAGGTTCACAAGGTTTTGGAACAGATCCCAACACTTCCATCAGTGCTTTATTGAACAATTTTTAGCAATATTTCATTCATTGCCAAACAATCGGCATGCATATTCATGAAGTCGGGCCCCAACACTCTGCATTCATTGTGCATTCAGATTGAACTCTTTCAAGATAGACTAAAATAATAATGATTTTGTTCTGACTGTAGCAATCATTTATTTGTAATACAAAAGCTGCTGAGAATAGGATTTGTGTTGTAACTGGAGTTTCCATGTAAGTTCATGTAAACATTGAGGGAATTTAAATTTGATGAACTTATTAAATGTGCAACACGGCTGTTTTGTGTGTGGATTTTGAGAGAAAGAGGAAACACTTTATTGTCGGTTTATTGATTTACTTGTCAATCCTTAAAAGTTTTTCCACATCCTAACATTATTGTTCAGATTTTTGCAAATAGCACACTACTAGGACTCAATTATTACACATATATTACTTTTATGGAAGCTTTTAGCGAGACTCATTTCAGCGTTTTATCTTAGGTGTGAGTAAAAGGGGTCTGGATGGTTTTTGTCGGCGATGTGCAAAATACAGCTGGATCAATAAAGCGTCATTCACAACTGTGTTGAAACACACCAACCTTTGTGCCTCTGGAAGCTTGATTCAATTACAAGCCACAGGCATTGAGATTACTTGTTTATCCAGTAGCAACATGTCGCCCTGTCCATTCAGCCACGGCGGCTTTTACTTGAGGTTTTGCCCAGATGTAAGAGAACAAAGGTAAAATCACATCAGAGTCATGCTGAGAGCTAAATTGGCGAGTGTAAATGTTTTTTATAAATTCTCTCTGCATCTCAGTTTGAAGTTAAAGAGAAAGACTAATGCGTCACATTTCAACAAGAACAGCCCGTGAATTATGAATCGATTTTATGCTTCATTACTCTAGAAAGACAACAATTAGATTA